TAATTAGAGTGATATCACGGATTTGTACAATTTGTATCCATATGCGTGCATCAACAGAGGTTTTTTGTTGGGATACAGTTTAAAAACTGTTTTCTTATATATTTTTCATATATATTTCATATGTAGTGTTGCACAGATAATGTCACTTCTAATTTTTGACTTCACTCATGTTCACCAGCACGAGGTGAATTTCACTTATCAACTTTGAGAGTTTTATTAGTTCACATTTTTGACTGAGCGCAACATATTCAGCACTAATACACATTTAGAGGTCTATTTATCAAAGGTTCACCAACCAATTTTCCCAACGGTTCCTGCCTGATTTTTTTATTTATGTGAACAGCGGACGAATCTTATGAAGTTTTAATGTTACCAAGACACATGTCATTTTTAAATATCTAAGGTACAGTAGAGGTTATTTTCATATTTCTAGTGAAATCTTCCGTTGACTTTCACTTATCTGCCGACATTTGCTGTTTATGGTATTAAAATTGTATATAAACACAGTTTCAGCACCATGGAGATTGATTGCTGGCAGAGTGTCTGTTTTTCCCTATTTCCTTAAGAGAGGATTTTCCCTCACTTTACTGAGATTTCCTTTTGCTTCCTGTTGTTTTTCCAAAACAGAAAGTGAAAGGGCATCTTCCTGGTGGAACGCAGACATCAAAAAATAATGTGAGAGGGATTTTAAACATTCCCTACCCTAAGAAAAACAAAAAAAAAGGAAAAAGTCTTGGCTTTACTTCTACTTTAAAAAAGCTCTCCCATCAAACAACCCTAGAGTTCGAGAACTGCTTCTGTCTAAGTTGTATGTGTATATATGTGGATACCACCCCATGTACAATAAAACTCTACATTACACCTCTGCAAAATGTATGTTAGCTGCTGGTTCATTGCCTTTGGGGATAGAGTTGTGCACAAAACACTTCAGTATGTTCCTGCTACATATTTGATAAAGCATCTAAGGTTGCAGCAACCCAGTGTGTACAATTTCTTTGATATGCTAATGCACTTCCATCCAATGCTTCTCATACAGGTATTTTACCTGTTACTTTGTTAATTATGATAGATTTAATCTCAGATGGTGCAGCTGATACAAACTATTCCTGTTCATAAAAATAATGAATTTAAAATACCGGCCAAAATAAATATACTGTTTTAAGAGCAAAGCCAAAAAATAAACAAGATTTAATCTTTTTTTAATTAAGTTTATTTGTACGGACACGTGTATATACAAATACAGTTTATGATTTTTTTTTACATTTTCTTTTAAATTGGTATAATGTAAGCATTTCAAAACAGCACTCAATGAATAGTAAGTGCAAAGCAGGGAAGTACAAGCACAGGACCACACTGAGCTGGACTTTCTTACCCAGATGCACACACAATGAGTGGTTTCAATGGGATGTTAGGAGTAAGTATGGAAAGCGGATTTTGTAGCCTCATGGGCAACCTCCAACATGCCAGCATCTATTAAATTGTACAGACAATGGCAGTAAGCGTATCATAGAGCTTTGTCTCAGATGTGGGAAAAGTTTGGTGGTGAATTCCTGGAAAAAAATGGTGGTACCAAAAATTAGGACAGATCTGCTCATTCATTGCTGAAAAGAGAAAGACAGAAACAGGATAGAAACTAAAACATGTAACCATGCATGAGGTTACATAGCAAGTTGAAAGAACTGAGTACAACCCTAAAATATATTGGGCTTACATGAAATCTTACAATGATTAACAAACAACGAAGATTGTGGGTCTGTCAGACACAAAAATGTACTACATAAGGTTTAAATGATGTTTATGAGTTAATCACTCATTCAAAGACTCATCTTTAATTTAAATATGCCGTACTAATGGTAAATGTTTTATGGAGGATAGTATGCCATCATGAATATAAGACCCCCAAAAAGTTACCAAAAATCCCTATGTTTCCTTAACCCAACATGCCAAAAATACACAGGGCTCTAACATCAGCTCTATAAACATTTAGTACAAAACATCATCGATAGTTACATGTTGTGTTGTTCTGGGTCATGATTCGGTGAGGACAGTGGTGAGTGATCATGTTTTATAGATGACCCTTTTTTTTTTGTTGCTTTCAAGTTTCATCTAGAAAAAGCCATGACTACTTTTTTATGTTTTGTGGTCTTAAAGTCTAATGTATTCACTTAGAAAAGACATAAGAATTGAATTAATACTTTATTATCAAACACTATATACAACATAGGTTGCTAATAATACAGAATTTAAAGAATTTAGTTTTTTTTCTTTATCTTATATTCTTTGCCATCCAAGAAGGTATAGTACAAAACAATATTCTAATCTAACATGAAATGTTATCTTGTGTATTAAAGGATACACAGTATCCACCGAACAGACTGATGCTTAATCCCCCTGCTTCAAGTTACAAAGCCTCTAGCCACCAGGGAAAAGGGTTAAAATTGTACCCAGCCTGGGCCATAATAGTTTATGGGGAAAAAAAGAGAAAGACAAAGTAGCTGAGAAAAGAAAAGAAAGCCAAAGAGACTTCAAGTGCAATGAGCAGCTTCAATATTTGTCCCAACATCCTTCATTTATTTTGTTAATGTTACAGAAAACAGTCTTTCTTTGTTCTATTACTTAGAGGGTTTATTCACCCCTCATGAGATTTCTCTTGTTTTCAGTCAAATTGTCTATGGCCACAGGGGCAAGTTGTTCCTTAAAAACATGGTGAGATTTGCTGAATTCATCCTTTTTATGACTGTTGTTTCATCTGTCAGGTAACTGCTGCAGCCATTCACAAAACAATATTCAGAAGCGGCAATAAGTAAACTGCAATGCAAATAGACAAGGGACAACTTGTACTTGTTTCAAAAGGCAATATAACTGAAGCAACATATTTTTCAACATTAGTGGGGACACTTTTTCTTGTGATTCTGCTTTTTTTGATTTTATCAGCCTCTGTTCAGTTTTAGTAACATGATTTTACTATTGTCTGGTTATTTAAAACTATAATTTTACCAGCATAGGAATTTATGTCTGTTTTTATGAAGATACTGCTTCTAGGAGGGAAACTGAATTTATTTATTTTCTTGATTTAACCAAAATGAAAATTAGACACAAACATTTAAATCAATGTTAAGGCTATTAAATGCATTAACATTCATCAACAATAATGCACAGAAGCAGCAGCGGTATTGCCAACACATTTTAAATACCAAATTGAATGCAATGTAAAACAACCTAATGCAAGTTTCATATATATTTGTATTATTACTGTATCACTGTAGACTGCTACATCTGCATTTATAATTGCTTTAAAGAATAACATTAGTCCTGGGCTCTTTTTCTTTTAGTTTAAAGGTAGATTATTGTGCTAACACTGTAAAATTGTTGTATGAGGATCTACATTATATGAATGACTCACAATGTTGTCAAATAAGCCTACAGCATAATACAATAAATCTTTCTTAGGTTACTTGTCTGTGCTTTATTGTAGTTTTTGATGTAAAAAAAATTGCATAATACTATTGTTCTAGATTAAAGCAACCCAGGTCAATGAGAAGTTTTGAAGGCTCTGGTTATACCTATGATTGCATTCTGATCTATAGGAAACACATAGTTCTGACAGTTATAAAATATTCTTGACTAACTATGACCATTTGTGTATGTTTGAACCTTTTTTTTTCCACAAATACAAATATATTAAAAGTATTATTGTACTTGATTTTTTTGCTTTTTATATTAAACATAATCACAGTTTGTTAAAGGCTTTATTACGTAAAGTACATTTGATGAATATGAAGTGTCTGCGTCATGTCCTTTACTATACATCAATAATAATCATAATAAAACAGAAAAATAAAACTCAAGGCACCCTGAAAAGTTATCAAGTGTCCATATTTGAATGTTCTAACAAGACAATAGGTAGCTGTTCATTTGATCAACCATGTTGTGTCCCATTGCTAAAGATTTATCAGTAACTACTTATTTAAGAAGAAAAACATTAATCCATCAATTATTTCAAATATTCCTTGGTTATGCATAAATCAGTTGTTTGAAAATATTTACTTAAAAGCTTTGGGAACCATCTGAATTAACCATTTTACAAACAATATAGAACAATGTTCTTTACATAACCTTGTTGTTGAAGAAAGCAACTCAATGTATTGCAGTCCCTCTATCCCTACAATTGGGGCCAAATGTGGCCAAAACCTCACTTGACTATCTTTCAGGGTCAGGCTGTTTTCCTTTGCAGTGGATTATAAACCATGCATTTTGTTCTGATAAATAATTTCTGAAGTCTGTTTTATAACAGTACAATTAATCAGTTCAGTAATAAATTCAGTTCAGTAGAAAAAAAAAAAGTTCAATAACAGACTTCCTTGTTTTTACATATAGTGTAGGACTGTGAACCAGGGCAGTTATCTATGGCTGCCTCCAAGACATTAAGCATGGTCAATTATGTACTAAATGCATGTGAGTTGTGAAACAGCAAAATAAAATTGTAGCACCGTGGAGATCTATTTTATGGCATTATCTGCCTATGTTTTAAATAGTAGAAGAGCATTCTGCACTCTAGATGACTTAAAATATATATATAAAAAAAATAACTTTTATTAAAAATCCCCCCTGCCAATTTCTTAGCACAGGTAAGAGTACTTAGGAGGTTCAGTATCATCTTCTTAGACAGACATTTCCTTGGGAGCCCTCGGAGAATTGAAATTCTTACTGTTTTAATGCATATTTAGCCATATTTGTTAATAGTGCCGTTCATCAAAGCTGAATCTCATTGCACGTTCTTTTTCATTTCATCCAAAATCCATTTTTGTTGGTTAGTGTCTCCTTGACTGTCTGCACGAAAGTGTGTGATTTTCTAAAACTGAATGATAAGGAAACTTTGTTTCACTAGTGTTGCAATTCAATTTTGGCATTTAATTTTGAGTTCCATTTAAAAAGTCCTGGAAACAATTATGTAGTCTATATTGTATTGTATATTAAGTACTTATTCTTCTAGAGTTTAGGTTCACTTGAAATTGGGGGAAAAAACTAAAAACTAAATGAAAAGCAGAAAAAAAGTTTATTTCTTGGGTGAAGCAATCAGGTGGATCTTTGATGTTCCAAGACCCTATTATGTTCTGGAGCTGGTCTGTGAAGTATACTGTGCTATAACGTCAAAAGCATTGCCAGGAGAAACAATAGGGTTGTCAAAAGCCAGTTTGGTATTCTCAGTGTAGGTGCTGAATTTTCACCACGAGATGGCTCAGCTGATTCATGAATTGTGTCATCTGTTCAAATACAAAACACACAGTCAATAATTTAACCGTAACATCCATCTGCTTCATGACTGTCATGTTAGATTTCACATTAAATAATATATTTGTTTTGTTTAAGATGCAGAAATATGGGTTTCATCCACTCAGTTGTCTTTTACATATAAGATTCACACAAATATTTTCATGCAAAAATATACAAGACCTATAATGTCCTGAGGTTTCCCCTACAGTGATAGATATGCTGAGCAAAGGACCTGTTCTCTATACTGATGAGCACCTAAAAGAGCATACAATATGTTGGATGGTCATTTATCAGCATTGGTATTTAGTTATGAGAAACCTGAGTGGGCAAAGGATTGAGTAGAACTTTAAAAAACATACCCTTGCAGTGAGGTGTAGCTTGTTTAGTCTAGGGAGCTCAAATAAAGCATATTTAAAGTACTTTCCTGAACCATGGTCCCACCGGGCTGCTAGACTGGCCCCCACAGCCATTTCTCACATGGGCTCTGTCAGGGTTCAGCATTTGAGACATTATTTATATTTTTGGCATGCATATGAGGTGGGATTTCAATGTCTAGGAGGTAGTGAGCATGTAGTCTACTACCATACTTCCAAAAGCATTAGTGTTCAATTGTGATGGGCTACAGCGTCTTCACCCCCGTCTCTGGCAGTCTAAGGACTACTGATCATGTCTAATACAGGTCCATGAGACCTGAGGATGCCAAAGGACATTCTACAGCTGGAGCAGAGGGGAGAAAAGTGAGCACTGATCACCACAGGACCTAGGATCGGGTGAGTATATCTGCCTTTTGTTGAGCCCCTTAGAGAAAATAGGCACCTGACCCTTGCAGTACTGGGGTGCATCTACTGCAAGGGTAAGTTTTTTTTTACATTTCCTGGAGTTCTTTAAGAGGTGTCCTCAGTACTGACTGCTCCTGACAAAGATGTATTGTAATTATATTTTTTGCTTCTTTTTACATAAAAAATAACTCTAAAGCTCTGGACTCAAAGGTCTACTTGTTCAGTTAAATATGTTTACATCTCATAGGCAAACATTTATGACTGCCTAACAATAACACCTATATGAGCTTATTTTTCTTGGTGAATGAGAAGACCTGTCTCTAAATCACAATAAGGTTCAGGTAAGGGCTCTACTCAGGCCACTGAGGTTCGTCCACAGTAAAGTCATCTAACCATGCCTTAATGGACCTAGCCTTGGGCACAGTCATGCTGGAACAGGAACGGGCCTTTGTATGCTGTAACATTAGGAGCAACTTTCACTGAAAACATCTGAATGCAATCATTTGGAGGGTGTCTACATACCATTGACCATATAGTAAAATCTGTCACTTATTTATAAAAACACTTGTTACACATTTAAAGGTTCAGCATTTAGAGCATTATGCCTATTTTTTGGCATGCATGTGAGGTGGTAGTGAGCAAGTGGTCTAAAGCCATGCTTACAAAAGCATTAGTGTTAAATTGTGATGGGCCTCTGGATCTTTGGTTGTTCAAATACTAAAATTAGTTTTTTATGTGCAAACTACTTGTTTCTCTATGGGGCAGATATCTTGCCCCCCTCTCTGATGAGGTGTCAATGTGGACCTTTAGACCCCTTAATTATTCACCAGCATGTGGTATTATACCACATATGGTGTTAGTGGTAGTGATGTCAGAAGAGATTCCAGGGAGACATCTCATCTGAGTTTCCAGCATATTTAAAACCATTACCCCTCACATTTCAGTGGCTGAGAATGATAGAAGTGTGCTTGCTACCATTTGGGATCTTGGCTAAATCACCAAGGAGATCTGCACAGACCATACTTAGGCATTACTGGACACCTTTAGGTGAAATAGTCACATTAGAAGACCCTTCATCAAGGCCCATTTAGGTTGCATATAGATCCCACTTATGGCTATGCCAAATCCCCTCCTGAGTACTGTGGGGCCTGAAGAGCACAAGTACCCCCTGTGTTGTAGGGCATGCTGGCTGGTATCTACTGGAATTGCAGCACACTGCCCCACAGGCTTAGTAGGACAGGTTGGTAGTGATAGGGAAAATGTTTTATTTTTTTAGTATTATTAATAATATTATTGTTATTTTTATTTTAAACAATTCTTTAAGTACTGAACCTTTGTTAAAAAGTTTAGCAATATAAAGTATTGGAGCCTCAATCGTTGGTGTGGTAAATATTGCTAAATGTCAGCAAACGTGTTTTGCATGCAACTAAACCTAGACAGGCAGACATTCCTAGATGTATCAACTCTTTTATAAATATGTTTCTAAAAACTGACAAATTGTTGTAATATTCAAAAAATTATGATAACATTTGTAATAGCTATTTGTACTAGGGATGCACCGATACCGGTTTTTCGGTATTGAGAACTAATATTTTTTTAAGTGCTCACCAATATCAGGTACCGATGCCGTGTGCCCAGATTATCAGGAAGTCAGGCATCAGAGTATCGGAGCATTTGGGCGAGTACTCGGTATTGGCACTGATACCGATGCTAGTATCGGTGCATCCCTAGTATGTACAGAATACAGTTTATCTTTATCCTGTACATTATTGGTTTACTGGATAGGCCCAAAAACTGCATAAATGTTGCTTTACCTAATATATAATAATATAATCAAACAACATTGCAATTATACATATTATAGTATTCATTATGGATTAGCTAAATATATACAGATATTTAACTTATTCTAGTACATAACTATATTGTAAGGTTACTAGATAAACTGATTAATTAGGTACACATACTCAGCTTTGAGCAAAGCAGTTCCCTCTGTATGCCACCATTCCAAGATAGAAGAGCTGCTTCATAGCAAGAGTGATGTTATTAAAGGTAAAATTATATGGGGTTAATATAGTCTAATGAACTTAGGAATATAAGCAATGGTTGTGTAGTGTAGCAGTTAGTATAGAGAGGGAGCTCTGTATTGCATTGAAAAAGATCTTGGATCTGACTGTACAGCTGTGTCACTAAAAAAAACAACTTAATTGCATACTGTAGCATTTTTTTAACTTTTACATTTTCGACCACCCAGCTTCTCATATAGCTGATGCATGTCTTTAGTATGTGTCCATAAATAATCAGATCATCTGGTGAGCTAACTAAAGCATAATTCAAAGATATAAATCATTTTCAGCTATATAAATACTTGTAACAATACCATCATTTTATAACAATATTTTAAAGATTAGTTAAAGTGCAAATTCTTCCACCATGCTTTCATTTATTCTTTTTTTATTGTATTTTTTCTTGTATGAACAAAATACCAATTAATGAAATTATTTTCTTTTTCAGAATAGAGAGAATTTTGTATTTTAGATCCTACCGCAGCCTCAGGGTTAGAACAGCCCCAGTGGCTGATGCCATAGCATGATTTAAGCAGCATGCAGTTATCACTCTGAATGGCCAGTTGGGCAAAGATAAGATTTAGGGGGTGGTGTGGATCTACCACATTCTCCCCAAGTCAGAACAAGGCAGTATTGGTAAAGTCAAAGTTATCTGTGGGTGCCAGGAGGACAGTTTTAGTGAGGGAACTCTAGAAAAAAAAAGACCCTTGCATAATTATTGATGGCCAATTCCACCCAGAACTGATATTATAGTTTAAATGAATACCATTGAGTTAAATCAACAGTCTGATTTTTACATCTCTATGAGGTTCAAATGGTGCAATTTCCCTAAAACAGTCTCCACCTTCTGCTGCAAGGTTATAATTAACAGGGTTATTCACAAAAAGGTGAAGAGTTTGTTGAAGGCAGGAGAAGTGAACAATCTAGGCCAAAATAGCTGATTTGGAAAAATTCCCAAATTCAGCTCACTTTCCGGTTCAGCTATGTTGTCCTAGCTTGTTCACTTCTTCTGCCTTCTCCAAACTATTCACCCTTTTGGGAATAACACCCTAAGTTTTCACGGTCTCCCAACTCCACCTTCTAATTATTGTCATTTGTCATATTGTATCATTGTACACCGCAAAGAATCCATCAGTGAAGTGTGACAACACTTTGGAATGCGAACAGCAGATGGAGGAGACTGAAAATCTGGAAAGAGCATCTAGTCAATGGAGTCCTCAAGAAACATAAGAATTCAGTAAGTGATTTAACCTACCACTGACCATACAAAGTTAGAATATCAGTTTTGGGTGCACTTTAACACATCAGATTACACCCAGCAATGCAGTTTCAATGTTAGGAACAATTATTATATAACTAAAATGAGAAAGCTGCAAAAAATCTTTTACATAATGTTGTCATTTTGAATCAAGAACAGACTATGCAGGGCTTAGCAGGGTGGTAAGCTGTCCATATATCATGGCTTTTGTTCAATTAATTAATATATTAAGTTGTTTCCTAACTTCTTGCAATCATTTGCATACATTTGATTGTTCACTTTCAAGTGTTATTAAGACATGTTACAAAAAACAGGCAGGGATGGTGGAAGAAGCAGCCACACACAGAGCTCCATGGTAAACCCAACGTCCGCCCCAAATTTAGCCCAACAAAATGCAAAGATTCATCTCACTGACTGAATTCTGGGCTGGTCAGATTGGCAGGTAAACTTGGTGCTTCAATGAGATCAAAGCCTGCAGGGGAAAAGAGAGGAGTACCACTATGCTGCAGATGAGTACTAGTAGGTTATGATTATGGATGTGTGCTGTAGTTCACTGTGTGTGTGTAATGTTACTTTAAACCAATGAGCAGAAGGCAGATTTGAAAATGCGGTTTACAGGGGAACTGGAGACTGTTCCCACCATCGCAGTTATGGGTATTATCCAATTTAGTTTTTTAATTGGCTGTTAGAATTTTTACCAGTTTTTTGTGGTTTTAGGTGTTTATGGTCTTTTTTAAAATGTATTGTTGTCTAGTGTATGGACATCTTTTCAATCATTGGCTGGAATGTAAGAGAATAGTGTAAGAGAACAAACATGTGTAATTACCATAAAGTGCACCCATTATGCCTTTTGAAGTATAGCACTAAATGGTATAACTATATAAACA